TCGGCACAGGCAGAGAGAGGTGTGTGTGCCCGGGCTGGGGGAGGCAGCATAGAGGCGCCGGCGCCGGGGTGGACGGCGGCATGTGGCCTGGCGAGGCCTAGCGGGGCGTGGTACCGCCCACCTGTACCGGCGCGGGACGCATGGCCATGGTCCCCAGTCGGTTGCTGGCGGTGTGCCCGGTCAGCTCCACCAGCAGGTCCACCCGGTCCTGCCGGATCAGCCGGGCCAGGGCTGCACGCACGCACACACACACACACACACAAATCATGCGGTACCGTCAATTGTGTTTGCGCATGCGCGGCCTTTCTCGCCGCAGCCGGCCGCCCGCACGCCCGCACGCCCCGTGGCGGGGCAGCTGCGCGGCAGGTCGCCACCCCCCCCCGGCGGCGGCGGCCAGCCCCCGGCGGCTGCTCGCCTGCCTCTGGCATCCGCGCCACCTCCCGCCAGGTGCCCCCCGCCGCCAGCACCTCGCCTTTGAGCCGCTCCGTCTTGCTGTCCGGCTGCGGCAAGGGCGTTTTGGAGGCTGGCTGGTTGGTAGGTGGCAGGTTGGTATGCGTGTGCATGCAGAGGGGTGTGCGATGGAAGGTGCAAGGCTGGGGGGCAGCTGGCGACGTCTCGTGCCCCGCTCCAGCCATGAACCACAGAAGCGGGTCCCAGCAGGGCAGGGGGGGCGCGGGTCCAACCCCACCCACGCCCCCTGCCAGGGCCAAACCACAACACAGCTAGCAGGCGGGTTGGGAGGCTTAGCGTCCCTCCAGGGTTCAGGAGGCGGGCGGGGGGGACCCTACACCAGACCTTGGGCACACAGCCCCTCTTAAGTGGCTCCCCACCTTGGGCACGCAGCTATAGGCGATGACGCGGACGGCGGCGGGGTCGTGGTGTGCCAGCGGCGCCTCTGCAAAGTAGGAGACGGAGTGGGTGAAGAGGTCGGGGGAGAGGTAGCCCACCTGCGGGGTGGAAAGGGGGAGGAAAAGAAAGCAAACGAAACGGACGATTGAGGGAAGCAAGCACATGAAGCACTTGAACAGTGGGGAGGGGTGTGAGCAGCGAGGGCATCCAGCACAGCGAGTGAAGAGGTGCAGGGGCGGCGGCGCAAGGGCGGCGGCGCGCGCGCCGTGTGCCGCCTGACACTGGCAGCGGCAGGTGCGCAGCCGCAGGCTCACCACAAGCGGGCGCCCCTCGGTGGCATCCACGTCGGGCAGGCCCAGCGGCGGCAGCCGCGGGTGCAGCTCCTGCGGCGGGGCGGGCAGGCGGGGCAGTGTGCATGCTTGGGGGGGGGGAATGCACGCCCAATGCCTCTACCTTTCCTTGCAGGCGCACGCGGCGGCCCAGCCCGCCAGATGGCAGCCAAGCGTGGCTGCCAACCCACAGGCTGGGCTGCCTCATAACTGCCATGTCGGCGGCTGGCCCGGCCCAGCCAGCCACCCAACCCCCACCCCA